AATGCCAGTATAAAGAGAATCACTTCGATACCCACGAAAATCGATGATATAAGGAGTTTGTGTCACGAACTTCTTATAGATGTCATGACGCAAACATTGATTTCATTTTCATCCTTTCCATTTTTGACGTTTTACAAGTATTCCAAGCAATAGTTGTGCTCACGCCTGTTGGGAATGCATTGACACGAAGTTCGATGTACTTATATTACGCCCATTTGCGTCAATTGTTTTTCTGTGAGTCGTATGTACATCTTAATAGTCATCATTTATTCTAAGGGTTCTAACGAATGGTAATATTATGTACTAATTATATAATAATAACAATATGTTGTTTATTTCCGTTTTTCCAATTATCGTTTTATTTACATGCACAGATTATACGTGACTCGAATTAGAAACACAGTGTCCTGAAATCGACGCGAGCTGGATGATTCTCCAATTCGTTGTTAATATTCCCCCGAGGCAGCTGATGTACTGATTACAGATCAATATATCGATTACAAAACAACACAGTATTCAGCAAGGTTTTTACAACGAGGGAAGTTGAAGAAGAGAGTGTGTGTTTTGAAAACTGGTTTGAATACAAATGAGATGTTGTGCTCGCAGTCAAATCGTCAGTGACTTTTCACTTTGACACGTTTTAATATTTGTTTATACCCATCTTTCACAAAGTGATTTATTCAGGTGTCATATCTACCACGTCATACTACTAGTTGGTACGATTCTTGTGGCATCTACTATTTGCAACAACACAGTGAGGTGTGAAAATGGCGTATGATTGCATATGGAGTGGAAACCTTTCCTATTATAACAGCACAGAAGGCGATATATCTTTGTTCCCGTGCGGCGATAACGACACCTCTTCCGAAAACGCCTATGACTGGGACTATTATTACGACGTGAAATTACCCACAAGGCTCCGCAATTTCGTGTATCCAGCTCCGCACGAGTGGTTTCTCATTTCCGTTTACGCACTGGTTTTTCTTATGGCTCTCGTCGGTAACGTGCTCGTCTGCTTCGCCGTGTTGCGGAACCAACAGATGCGAACTGTTACAAACTATTACATTGTTAACCTGTCCTTTGCCGATATATTGGTGTCTCTCATTTGCTTGCCCGTGACTGTGACATTTGAGACCACCGAAACCTGGTACTTTGGCGACTTGGCCTGCAAAATAATTCCCTATGTTCAGGTTGGTACACAAACATAAAATTGGATGATTGAATGATTGGTCGATTGAATGATTGATTGATCATTCATTCATTCATTCGTTCGCTCGTTTGTTGATTGATTGATTCATTCATTCATTTATTGCAGTAATTTAGATGAAGTGTTGTTGATTAAGGATCAAGTCGATTTGTCCCAACTATTATTATTTAGACATATAAGTAAATAAAGTAAATAAAGAAAGCCGTTGTATGATTGAAAAAAAATTTAATTATCAAGCTGTTTTATTACGATGCAATACGCGTACATACACAAAATAGGCGTATTGAAGATATCATCCCCTCTTCACGTTTTAACAATACATCAAATGACTCGTTTATCTCAATCGCATTTTGTTTTGTAAAATTGTACAAGCAATGACAACATAACTGGTAATTTACTCGGATATAATGATTACAATCACATACGACTTTCTCAGTCATCAAGTTATTGCGCAAACCACGGGGGAAATATTTTAATACGCACATAAAATCTCATTTATTCCCGAGTGATTATTTGCTAATCATGGCATCAATTTGCCCCCAACAAATCGATTGAAGACAATGTCGTTTGAGTACTAATTAGTAGAGAGCGCTGTATTGTTGAATGTCTTTGAAATGTCAGAGGGACTTGTTCCTGTCAATGCGCATGATTAGAATACTTCTCTTCGTAAGAACCAGCAATTGGAACGCTATATCTCATTTCAATATACATTGAACAAATGCACACTGATGCAATTGAACAGTGTAGTACATGTTTGTAAATATGCAAAATACGTAAGCAAATACGTTATAAACGTTAACTGCCAGATATCTTCTGGTTAATTATTATTTTGCTTATTTCGCGGACTGGAAAATGAAACCTAGTGAATATGTAAACTTGAGCATAGAATACATTATCTAAATGATAAAACTGTGAATTTGATTTTAACAAATATTTCTGAAATGCTAAATCAGTGAAATTTAAACCAAGTGAAAATTAGTAGTTACACAGTATCGTCTCGTTTTGTGGTATTCATTTCATAGAACGTCTTGTATTGAACATTTAACATTGTTGGAGGTATTCACTTTCGGTAATAACATCAATCAATGTGTTAGTGTGTATGTGTGTGTTTTCGGGTGGGATAAAAGCATTTTAGATATAATCAATGCAAAACCTGTACGCATCACGAAATACAGTTTCAATAAATTACTAAAAACACACTTTCCAACCTCGTTGATATATGTAAGCATGTGACACATTTGATCGTTGCAGGTAGTTTCTATGAGTGTATCCGTATTGACGCTGAGCGCCATTGCTGTAGACAGATACTTCGCCATCTGCCAGCCTCTACTCTTTAAAAGTACAGCAAAGCGGACGCTGACTATTATATTCTCTATATGGTTGGTATCGTTCATTATACCAATACCACAGGCCATAGTGTATGAGACGGAGGCCGCCGATACTTACAAAAGAACATATATCTATTTCACCAAGTGTTACGAGGTTCGTTAAATATGTCATTTGCTTACACAGCATCGACAATGTGGCCCGCATGTATGAGGAACATACCTTAGACGCAAATCTCGCCGCCGAGATCTCGTTGAGGAAGAGCGAGCAACGAGATTTGTTGCCCCTCAGAGCGCATTTCATTCTTTCCTGAAATCAAATACCGTGGTTACACAGATCAGTAGTCGCGATGAAGTAGAAAACGGAAATACTATTTCATGCACTCGAACAAGTTTGCGCCTTTACCGCTCGCAATGAGATCTCGGCCGGCCATTCGCGTCTCCTATAATAACATTGGAAGCATACATGCAACAGACACGTTAATATATCATCGGTAATATTATGAATTGAAACCGTGCAATATGCAATTAGCATTAACGATGTGTCTTGATTAAAAGCATGTGCAGTTAACACGAAAATCATGTCTTTGAGTCGTTTATGGGCAAAAATCTTCAACATCAGTGTATTGTAATTATAGCATATTTCTGATCATACGTATTGAACATGCCACTCACTTTCTCTCTCCAGAAAGTTTGGTTTGGCACCATCCAACAAAAGATCTACCACGTGGCGTTAGTGCTTGTCATCTACGTCATCCCACTTCTGTTGATTGGCATCGCCTATCTGTTTATATGCCGGCAACTGTGGGCTACGATTCCGGGTACCATGCCTTCTGGGGGCGGCAAACATTGCCATTCCAATGGATCGGATATGAACAGGACGACGATGAGCCAGCTGAAATCACGCCGGAAGGTAGCCAACATGCTGATCATTGTTGCCATTCTGTTCGCCCTGTGTTATCTGCCTTTACATCTGTTAAATATCATCAGGTGAGCATCTATCACGTGATCAGAATTTAACTGAACTATAAGTCGCGTCAATTAAATGCTATTCACCTCAATCAAGCTTGTTACATAAATTATGCTAATTTTTGTCGAATCTTAAAGGTCGCGTGCATGCCATTATTTCGTTTATATATCCCTGCGATCAATATCCTATGACGTCACTATTTTACTATGTATAGATGCGGGAAAACCGATTCGTGCAAAAACTCTTTTTGTTCTTGGTTATTTATAGAATAAACAGGCGATTGGGATTATATTGTCATGCTGTTCAAAAAAAGAGCAAGAACATAGTTCAGACTTACACATAAATCGTCATTTTCGTATATTTATCTGCTGCATAGCTGTTTGAGAATAATTATTTCGCCAATTAAATCGACTCAATTTGTACATTGATTATTAGTATAAATTATGTTCATAAATAATATAATAACGTTAAATAAAAATGCCGTTTAAACTTAGCAAACAAGGTGAAACGATCTGCAATTACCTAATTGGCATTGCCATCAGCAGATGTTGTGATTCAGGGAAACAGACAGAGAAGGCAGAACGAGCGTATAGAGAGGGGGATTCAATTAATTGATACAGGCAGATTTTGGACCAAACATATTTAGAGATACGGCACAGTATATTAATGCCAGATGGGAAGTAATAATAATACAAAGTTGAGAGTCAAATTCAATTGAAATAAGAATTACGCTAATAATATCATGCAGCACCTAGCCACACATGAAATACAAAAAAAAAACATGTGTAATTTTACATGTAAATAACAATACTTGATCGAATTAAATTTTAACATAATGTCTTTCATTTCCAAAAAGGTCGCTAAATGATGGTAAAAATTACTTTCTTTCTTGCAATTAAAATGCTAAAATTGGCCTTCAGACACTCACTGTTCACACGATAAATTCTATAAATATTCAATTCTTTAAAGTTGTTTGGCCATTTATTCTCTCACTCTGTTTAACCATTTGTTGGGTGGATAATACAACGTGGTAAAATGTCTCTTACAGAGCAATGCTTCCCACTTGTCCTGGCTAAAACTTTAGATCATGCTGAAACAATAAACACAGATTACGTCACAATTCCGCTTCCTCTATTCGTATATTCCGGACAAAATATAATGGTCACATGTGGAAATGTACCAGCATTCTTTCGGAAAAGAATTGAGACAAATGTAACAGTCAACTTTGGCATTTCAAGATTTCTCACGTATGTATGCGTAATTGGGGATTTCCAAGTGTGCATATTACGCAATTAAACACCTAACTGTGAAATACCGAAGCCTTCATTCACATTGTAAGCAGCAACGTAAGACTTGCCGGTACTTTACTGTCGCACCTTTTGTGCAGATCTTGGTAGTAGTAGTAGCAAGTATTTGAAAGGTTTTCATTTGGCAAGATAACGATAAATAAGTGTTTTTTGAGTTGAGCTCGCCTCTTGAACATATGTATACTTTTAACGCGTGCGCAGTTTAATATTTCGATTTTAGTCACCATTAACAGAATAAAACTGCATAATTGTTTCCACACTTTTTCTTAGAACTGTTGACAATGGCCTACGTTCCACATTAGTACAGTATGTTCAGCTTGTTTGGTCCAAAATTAACAAAACAATTATAAAAAATTACATATAAATAAAAATAATTTGGATTCTTGGATTAACGTTAGTTATCGCTTGAAATAGAAACAAATCTTATCACTGACAATTGTTTGATAATCTAAATGCTTATTCTGTTTTGCCAGTTTCTCTATTTTATGATTACTTTTACATATTATTGTCTTATTTTCATTTTAAAAAACAAGTAGTTATATATAACTATATATATTTGTATTAAATAACGTTCAAACAGGGCGTGGCTAGCACGCGGCTTTTAAAGTATGTGTGCGTTGATATCAATGGTCACTGATAGATACAATCTGAAAATCGTCATCAAATAAGGTTAGATTGAAAATGCGTATTCCAGGTTCAATAACAAAACGTTATGTTAAATACATTTATGTTTTTTTTTAGTGTTTATAGTTACGAATAATATAGTTGTACATCATTCAATTTGATTCAGGGCTTGTGAAATCTCACATTGAATCACAAAAGTTGTCATTTTATTGTCATAATGTGAAGATAACTAGAAAAAGGTTATATTGAGATTTTGTAAATGCCTTAAGGTATATATCCAATAACATAAGAGACGAAAAAACAAACAACCAACCGACTTAAGTCACAAGGCACATGCTCGAATCATTGTCATAACTCATAAGCGGACTGCAATAAATGTGTTACCCCTTCTATATTATAGTTTTCCTAACTGACATTAATCTTTTAATATATTTTTGCAGGCAATTCCCGATTTTTGACGAGGTCGTACAAGAAGATCGCCATTCTTTCCACATACCCTTCCTCGTCGCTCATTGGCTAGCGTTTGCCAACAGTGCCACCAATCCTGTTGTCTATAACTTTTTGAGTGGTAAGTCAATATTCCCCCATACCCACATACCCCATAGAACGATGGTTTAAAGGAAGGTGGTCGTCGCGCTACGCATGTGTGACATTTGTGTTGATAAACATTGATTTTCCGACAATCCAATGCGCTCTTGTAATGGAAATCACAAGTATGAGATGTGACCTGGACGAGACTTTTACTAATTACAGCCGGTGACTCCTTCGTTACATTTCAATCACCTAAAATACATAATTAAAGCTTGGTAACGTCTCAGTTTGTACTCGCTGATCTGAGCAGCAGCCAAAGTCGCCATATTTGAGAGTTAGATTTACATTAATGCTTACAAATTGTAATCGTGCAAACTGTACACAAATATATACAATGCACCAGTAAAGAAAATCGTCTACTTCTGCACTGACATATTTAAAGATATATTTTAATCCGATATTAATAACAAGCTCAATCAAGTATCGATTGATTGCGAATGACACATTCTCAGCAATGAATAAGGAAACAGTTGAGATTATAAAAAGCAATTTATATGTGGTATATTTGTCCGTGTTAAAGTTAACAACAGTTCCCCTGACAACAGGACACAGCGCCGGTTAATGTAGGTTAATGTAAATATTCAAAAGGAAAGCCAATGCTTTAATGGTGTTCTCTGCGCAGTTATTTATATCCTGAAAAAGAACATAATTAAAGAAACAATATATACGCAGAGTTCAACTTTTTACAATCTTGCTATATAAAGCCATGCCATTGCTATATAAAGCCTGCATTATTGGGATATAAATATTTCAGGTTTATACAACAGCCAAACTTAATTTGGGTTTCCGCATATTATACGAAACTGCAGCCTCGCCGCACATAGTGCTGCAATAATAAACTTATAAGGCTTGATTGCAGTAATTAACTACTCTATTTATATATTCGAACGAGCCAGCACTGGTCCAGCGTGTAAGCACACTTTTTAATGTCACCCTTCCTGTCTTTCCCGGCATTGCCTCTCATGATACTAATAAATGAGTAAAGTAAGTGCGAAATAACACTAATGGTGTCTAATCTCTTGTAGCTAAATTCCGTAAGGAGTTTAAGGCGGCGTTCACGTGTTGCTTGTCTTGCTGCGCCCGGAAACGACGCAGACGCCACAAACGCGGCGGTTACCAGGGTTCTATAATGCACAGCTCAATGGCATCCACGTCGAAATCATACGGGAATTGTACAGAGCATATTTCTATGTCTACTGTCCGCACTGGTGTACACGTGTAGAATGCCAAACGCATCATTGCAGTCTGTAAAAGAGATACAATGACCACGGGATTCAGCGTATTTGCAGTATTGACATTATACAAAGATGTAGAGTGCTCATCTATCCCCTGACTACTAGAAAGAAGAGTTCCATGACCATGGTTCGCCTTCTTGATTGCAAACAAGTATTCTGTCAAAGTTTGCCTTTTACAATGGGATATGCTTCCTGGTGTAACATATACGTATAGGTTATATAAATATATGGAGGAGGAAATTAAAATATGATACACGTATCTCGGCAGGTCATATAAGATTGTAAGACATCGATAATAAGATGGTATAGTATATGAACCATTAATGTAAATACGTGCGTTTTATGCACTGTCTCGAAAGTATCTTCTCCATTCATGTATATTGTCGCTTCATTTTGTTTCGTTGCCCTTTATGTTTCAACTTGATGACGAAAATTGAATACAGGCTCATTGAATAAAGTGCAGTTGAAATGTATACACTAAATTATAGTGAGAATTGTGTCTGCTTTAGCGTACATTTATGATTGTTTTCTACGGCGAACATATACCTCATCATTGTACTGTATAATGTTGATGTCAATAACTAATTCGAACGAGTGTTAAACTATTGAGGGCCATAGTCAAGTTTTGACACCTCTGTTTTAGAATAAACCCCACGTACATCGTTTCATATAACTTTCTCTTATTGATTGAACTGTGTTGTATAATGTACTTGTCAGTTACTTTTTTTGTTTTTGTGATCTTATACTTATAGTAAATGATTCAGGGGTTGTGTATGTTGTTTCTTGTATCATATTGTTTCTAAAATGTTTATCAAGATCTGTAACCAACATGAAATTATGTTCAATCAACCCTTAGACTGAATGTTGCCCCGCCATATTGGTCGGAATATGGCTTTCAAAAGCTAAACAACAAAATGTGTTTTTATTATGGAATTTGCTTTATTTCGTGATTGTCCTGCATATTATTTGACTTGTTTTCACTCCCAAAAAACACAGGGAAGAAACAAAATCAACATACTATTGAATAATTAATTATAGACATGTTTTACAATACGGTCACTGCATAAAATACTCACACAAGTAGTGTTCTTCTCTAACAAAACATAAGATTTGAAGAGACTGCTATATAATTTCATAACATCTTGAGACATACTAAGATTTCACCTTCTGAGGCGGCGCCGTATAACACAGTGTCTTCGAACTGAATTATGAGTCTTGTGTGTGACATTTGATCTCACATAATATTATTTTTCATGTGCATTGATGAAAGTTGTGAAAACAATTATTCTTGTATAGATTTATATTATAAGCTATTATCACATGACTAACATATAGATAACTTTTTACGTTCTAAGTCCGATACACGCTAACTTATCTAAGATTGATCGATCTGTATTGTAAACTACTATGATATGAACTATGTGTCTAGAAGATTAAGTACAATTTCATCTTTTTCATGTTTGATTCTGTATGTGATATTTGACTTCACAGATGATTATATTAAATACAGTTTGTTTTTTCTTCAGTAAAATTGGAATATTTGTATTAAACATATTAGTAATTATATTTATTTTACAAATACATTGCTTTGTAGTTAAATATGTAAATAAAGAAAACTGAATAACGTATATCAATTCAATTTTCAACCATTTTTTTCATTTTTAAAAATATAAAATTATTATTCTGTAATATTCTGTATATTGTAATTTATTTTATTTTACGCTTTGAAAACATATGTACGTGTTTATATAATACAATTAAATTTCACTCATTAATGGTAATCAACTAGGTGACCTAGGTAATATGTTAGCTGCGCTGTGATGGTATTATGTAAATATGGTTGTATGTTTCCTAGTGACGTACTCATTAAAGTGATCAGTTTCAAGAATATCATATTACTAAGCAAATGCAAAATATAAGAAAGAGTCTTGTATTTTAATTTTCTTCCTGTTCACGTATTGTGATTATAATATTCGGCTAAATGTATAATAAAAACGCTTAATTGTTTATAATATAATACGATTTTTTATTTTCTATTTCGTTGCCGGGCATGGCGGGCGTAATGCTTTAAATACTACTTACAAATCCTTGAATATTGACAATTAGACTCGTATTGTGGAAATTAGAAACAAACTAATTCGTGTATTTAGCAGACATGTTTAATCTTCAAAATAGTACACATGATGACATTATTATTATTATTTCTTGGGTAAATTAAATACCAATTACACTGTAATTCTTGTTTCTAATTTGTATTTAATATTGGAACCAGCGATTATCCTTATTGCGGATTATTGGATAATAATCCGGAAGTTAATAAAGTTCAAAAAGTTGAGAATGTGTCTATTTTTTATTTGCTGGAATAAATATAGTATTGTCTGAGAGTACACGACACATGCCTTCTGAAATGTGCTTCTAGCTGTGAGGTTTCTATTACGTAATCAAAAAGCAGTTGAGACGCCAGTAAACATACTATCATGATATTAACATTCACTCAATTAGGTTTCCAATCAGATGTGCATTCCAAAATAATAATCATAACTATTGGAAGGTTATTAAAACGTTTATTGGATTATTTAAATTTTGACTTACAAACAAAAAAATAAAATAACATAGATATAGTTTATAATCAAACAGGAGTAACGTGCGCAATTCGAAAATACGAAATGAAACAATAGATTGAGTTGTATATTACAAATTAATGATATAGAAATTGAATTATATATGTCATGGATGCATTTCATTAATGGGTCCATTGACTATGTTAGTATAATGTCTCAATGTGTTGAGGCATATGATTAGTGTGTATGCTTCCCCGTGCTTATATCCCATTGAAGGATTTGTTTATAGGTTTTGTTTTGAATTATTCAAAATATGAACGTTTGCACCTATTTGTGATCAATATTAACCGATAGTAGTCAACACCTAGTATAGCCTCGATATAGATTATATGTAGACACTCGTTGTTATGACAAAAAGGCTAAAGACAAATATAATGTAACATAAAACTTCATAAGTTTTCTCAATAGCACTGACATTGCTACAACGTTTACACTTGTGATAAATATCTATTCATAAGTATTTACTAGTGACCACTAGTCATAATGTTGACCGGACAAATATAATTACGAACATGTCTTGCTTCGTTACAAAAATCGCATTTCAAATTACGTTGTTTTCCGGCACACGTTTACGTGCATTGTTCTAGCTGTCGAATATAGTGTTTTTTTATTAAATCGTATGGAGGCATATCACTCAGGTAAAGTGTTCCATTATATTTAAATGTAATAATAGAGCATTAGTGTTGAGTTGGCACACCTATCTCATTGTACGTGATAGGATTTCATGATGTGATTTATAACAATATATTTCAAGGTGTTGTGAGATTGTTTTTACAAAATACATCACATTTAACCACAATAAACAGGACAAGTCTTACCCAAACGTTCCCATCTCTGCTGTGAATAATATAGCAAATTAGCCGCTATCTAAATCAATAATTATTTCCAGACATTGTCAATTGCTTTCGACGCACGGGATTATTCAATAGTCTTTTGTGTTTAAATATTGACAACGCGTGTTTGCAGAAATATTTTATACATATATAATTATTTAAATAGGTTACACTCGAACGAATTCTAAGTGTTAAGTGATGTTTTAAAATCAGTTGACATAAAAAAAACATCATCACTTACGCATAAACAACTGCCACGTCAGTTTAAAAAGTGACTTCAGATACAAGTTGTTATTTGTGTGATAGTAACTGGTAAATTTATGCCGATATTAGGAATTGCCAATACCTATGAATAATACGTCAAGATTATAATTAATTGTGCCATGCGTAATTGAGATTAAGTTTGTGTTTCGTTTAATAAATGGGGAAGTGAACAAGTTCAGTATTCTTAAGTAATTAAAATGACCATCATTACGATCGAAGACGACTGGGTTCCATTAGGCTTGTCACAGTATTGAATACCGTATTAAATATTCGATTTAAAACTGATTGTATCGTCTTCTGTGCATCTGGCCTTTGACGAATGTTCATAGGTTCATAGTCTCATTTGCGATGATACAACATACATTCGCAAAATTGTCAGCACGAATACAACGCCGAACGTGGCAACTTTTCACACGCCTACGTACACGCGGATGAGCTAAGGTGTCACATTGCAAATGTTCTATTCCCAGGGTTTATGGCAATTCGTCCCGAGATCATATCGTGGAATTACCGGGTAATTTGAGCCTCGGTTCGATAAAACGGATGTGTGGACGAATGTTAACGTATTAATTCGTGCTCCACTATAACACTTCCACGTTGGTGACAAGTCGCTTAGGAAATCAATCAGACATAGTAGTTTGAATTAGCATTGCTATTTCTGATCACACTCATGTTCATCTGCTCCGTGTTACAGTAACTTTTGGAGTTGTTCACCGAGCTACTGTTCATCATGGAACTGTGGTAACCGTGTCCCCGTTTTCCTCTCTTGTGCTTTGTATCCCTGCAACAAAAACAGCAAGCGAATGCGGCCTTGAATTCCCGGCGAAATTTAGCTGGAGGGAGAAAGAAGAAAAAAAAGTCTAGCAATATATTTTATCTAAATGGCATCTTTAGATCAGTTAAATACCTAATAAATTTCAGGCATGGTGTGTATATTCGTATAAATCGATGAGTAGCCCCCTATACATTTAACGAATTGAAAAATGCAGCAATGTCTAATCCATGTTTATTTGACAAATATACAATAAAATATTAAACGTCCTGCATCTACACAGCCTAGGTGTTTTAGTACATCTATCCGCGTCGTAAAATTAATTCTACAAGCAATAATTGTAATGCACCGTGTATATCACATACATAAATTGAATATTCACTTTTTGCTGTACATTGGCTAGCCAGTGGGATACATGGTAAAGATTTCCAAAAAAAAATGTTTTTCTACATTCTCATACATTGGAAATATTTAGGAAATGTTCACGTTTGGCGGAGAAGGTACATGCCAAAATATACTAGATTCATTGTGAAATAAACATATTCAATACAAATATGAAAAACGTATACCATTTCCCATGTGTTGTGTGCGAATTTCATATTCACTGCGCGTTGTATGTGAGCGTGTTTATGCAAAACTGTGTGCTACTGCAGCCTCCCGAGGAGCATTGAGTATATTCTGTGAATAGTCGTGAAATGGAGATTACAAACAATACGGCATAACGCCATCTAGAATATATCACTAGAGGTTATGACGTTGAATAAATTCCCGGTGCATAGAATACTCTAGCGTGTTATACGATAGCTGTTTTTATCGACTTAGCATGTCATTTGATGAAATGTTGATTAATAAGCACAATGTGTAGATGACAAGAGTTTAAAGTTCACATAAATCGCAGCTGAATAAAAAATACGTGATTAACAGTTTGGCTGGTTTGTCATAATTATTCTGCGAGAATCATAGAAGTACATTTTTTTCCTCTGTTAACTCTTTAGCTATTAACGAGACTCAAATACAATTTTCACTAAAACCACAGTTGTCATCTTCTCCGGCAATAATGTGTAAAGATTGTAGCATACATGTTTTGTATGCTCATATGTTAATGCTCAGTCGAATGCGAACAAAAGTGATCACAAAAAGCCGATTCTATTTTTTAGAGTACCTCGCAATGGAGGTGAGACATATGCGCACTCCAGATTATTAAAACGAAGTTATAGTAGCGATCTCCTTTTCATCTTGACAGACTATGCTGCGCGTCAATATATTTTTAATATTATTTCACTTCAAACAGTCGGAGAATACTTGTCATTTGTCACTATTGAAGTATGAGTCTCGCACCCACCAACGCAGTTTATTTTCTTCTGTGCACCATCTCGCTGATTGTTATGGTATCAAAAGTCCGTACATGTATTGCACTATCAGATTGACAGACGTCAAAGTTTTGTGATGTAATCAAATTAATAAACATATTTGCCGAGATGTTTGATAATTGCTCCGTAATCTTTTCCCTGTCTTTGTTTTCATATATTTCAGGTGTCGGCGTGGATGAA